ATCGAAGAAAACTGCCAGAAGATCCAGACATGAAAAAAAGACAATGAAGAATTACTTTAAAGAACCCCAGATTCATTATAACAATTTTTATCTAATACAAATCGATTAAAATTAATTTTACATGTTCGTTAAATAATAATGATGATGAGAAAAAAGACAAAATTACACGTTGAATAATTTCAAATTAAAAAAGAAAATTTTTCTTATCAGAAAAAAATACCTACATTATGCAAATACGTATCAATCACATATTTTGCGTATTTTGTCAAACCTAAAGCGATATGTTGCAATAATTAATTATTATTATTATTTTTTTTTTTTTTACTTATTTAAAATTTAAATATAATTAAGTTTTATATGTATGCCCTTCGATAGTTATTCGTCTAGAAAATTTATATTTTTTCAAGAATAAAATGAAAAATTTTAATTAGGGCTTACCTCTAGAAAAATCGATATTTTATTATAGAAAAAAGTAAAACGAAAAGAAAGTCAGTCAGATGACAAAATTTTTAAAATCCCATTTCTTATTTTAAAAAAAAAAAAAAATGATTTAAAAAATTAATTTACCTTACTGAAAAATGAATTCTTATTTAATTAATAACTTTGTTAAAATAATTTTATTTTCGTTACACAAAATAATAAATAATTAATAAATATAACACAAAATATCCTCCCGTATTGAATAAAATGTACGCTTAATATGACATCTGACGATCAGAGCAAATTTCAAAATGGCTGCCGTCATTAAAATCATTTCAGAAATTTTTTTTTTTGCATCGAGTAAAAATAAAATTATCGAACCGTTTATTTTAAATTTATTTAAATATCAATAAATTAAATAATTTTGGTAAAAACTTAATTTTAATAAAAAAAAAATATAAGAACGAATTAAGAAAAATGTAAAAAATAAAAATATTTCGTGGACCAATGAACGATAGCAAAAACTTTCTCGACCTAATTTCAAAGTTGATTTAAAAATAAAACAAGTTTTTCCAAAAATATTTTTTTTTTTAATTAGGCCATACGTAGCTAAAAAGAATCCTTGTTTTTTTTTAATCGATATCAAATTTAAAAAAAAAAAAATTAAACAATTATATATTTGTAAAAGTTTCACGACTTATTCGCAAGACTAATTTTCTTTATTTTAAATTGATAAAAATAATTAACTTGAAAACATTTATTAAACTAAATATTGAAATCGATGAAAAATTATTTTCTCTAATTTTTTTTTTGAGGTTACCCACCGGTAAATATTGATTAAATTCTTGCGTGACTTTATTTTCTAAAAAAAATTTTTAGTAATTAATTAAACTTTCTTTTTTTTCAAAAAAAAAAAAAAAAAAACTAGTTCGGCCTAGTAAAAAAATTTTATTATTGCGTGACCGCGTATCGAATTTAAATAAAAAAAACCGTTTTTTTACTTATAAAAATAATTTCGTAAAAAAATTCAATTTTGTAAATATAACAATAATTATATATATATATTTATTAGTTAAGTATTGTACAATTAAAAATATTATAAAAAACAAATTTTGAAAATCTATTTTTAAAAGTTTTAATTAAATGATAATATATATAAAAATCATTATTATTTTCATATCACTTTCTTTTAAAAAAAAAAAAAATCACATTGCTTTAAAGCTTATTATTATTATTATTATAATGGAATGACAGAAAATTAAAATTTTAAAGCAATTATTATTAATTAAAATGAAACAAAACAAAAAACAAACAAAAAATTTTTGTTTATTATGTACAAATATATATATATATTAATCAATGATAAAATTTTTGTTATATTTGTAACCTTGAATATGTTACGTCAATCACGGTACGAACCTTCCTTCCTACCTACTTCCTATATTATATACCTGATGACATCATTAGAAAATTCTTTTTTAAAAAAAATAAAATTTTTAATTTCAATATAATTACCTTCTCTAATTATTATTATTATTTTTATTTAAAGTAATTTATTATAATAAATGTTTTATTTAAAAAAAAAAATAATCACCAAGCATACGGTTACTACTCGTATAAAGCAAAATGATTGTTAATACATAAAATACATAAATAAAATTATTATTAATATTATTATTATTTTTTTTTTATTTTATTGAATTGTCAAAACGAACGAACAAACGAGTGGATAGTAAGTAACGCAAATAAGCATAAAAATTATTAAAAATTATGCAAAAAAGTCAATTATTATTATTATTATTATTTTTATAAATAATCTCTAAACCCTTTAATATACCGTCTTTTCAGGTATTCAACAACAGCAAAAAAAAAATTATAAAAATAATTCAATTATAACAAATTGATAAAATAATAATAATAATAATAATTTTTTGACGATCCGTTCGTTTTGTTGTAATTTAAAAGCGCCATCTTTTTTTTTCTTTTCCTACACTAATTAGCCTTTTGATAAAATAATAATAACCTTGAAAGAAGCATTTAAAAATTAAAATAAATTTTTAAAATTATAAAGTAAAAAAAAAAAAAAAAAAAAAAGAAAATGATGATGATACGTTTTTTAAAATCAAATCTCTAAATCCAAATAAAATTTTAAATTATTATTAAGATGAATAATACTTGAAAGCGAGCCATTCTCATGAATTTTTTATTGTTCTTTTTTCGACATTGCTTGCTGGTATGATGGTGGATGCTCCTGTAAAAAATTTTTTTTGTTTATCGTTTCTCTGATAAAATTTTAAAACTTGATAATGATTTAATCATTTACTTACGTAATATGATGGGGGAGGCACATAAGCAAACTGAGGCTTATTGGGATCATAATAAGCTGATTGAGCAGCTTCAGCTGCTTTCGGATCTAAAACAAATCAAAAACAAATTTTTTTTTTTTTTTTTTTCTCGTAATCATGCATAAATTTTTTTAAAAACTGAATTCAAGTCAACAATTTAATCGTTTAATTAAACATTATAAATTAAAGTACTTAATTTAATGTAATTGAACTACGAGAAATTAATGAAAAGAGGCAAACTTAAGTTAAAAAGATAGCCTTGAACCCATATTTCATTATTATTATTATTATATAATTACATGCATGCCTATGAAATAAGCAAGGCTTGGTTTTAAAAAATATTTTAAAAAATAATAATAATTTTTGATGTGAAATAATATCGAATTTTTAAATAAAATTGGTTACCTGGTGGTGGTGGACCAGAAGCTCCAGCGTAGGGATCACTTGGTGGTCCGAAAATTCCAACATATGGTGGAGGTGCACTAGTCATAAACACAGTGTTGGCTGAAATTAAATACAGTTCATAAAATCAAATGTAAAAGTTGAATTATTTTCAAGTATGATGATATTACTACAAGTCCATTCTCCTAAATATATCAAATGATTAAAAAAAAAAAATAGAAATCTAAGTGAGCACTTACGTGGAGGTGCATTTGGAAAAGCTCTGGTGGGAGGCACCCACCCATAATATCCATTCGGTTCGGGATGATAGGCTGGGGGTGGAGCTGGATGGAATGGTCCTTCTGGACTCACATAAGGAGGTGGAGGTCCATAAGGTGCATTTCTTTTAGCTGAAAATCACACATTATTATTGTAAAGCAATACTTCAAAAACAATACTAGAAACATTGCAAAAAAAAAAACATCATCTACAAAAATATCAAATCAAACAAAATTAAAAAAAAAACCCAAATCAAATTAAAATAAAAAAGAAAATTTTTTTTGTTACCGAATGAAGCAGCTTTAAGCATTGCTTGGCCAAAATCGATGGCACCACCAGATTTAAAAACTAATTTAAATTTTGCTTGTCCAGACCAATTACCATTAGGCTGAGCCATAACAATCCCTTTTATGTAATTAGCACCAAACACTGGTTGTTCCAAACCAACCTAGTAATTTTAATAATTATTTAATTTTTAGTGCACAAAAATAAATTCAAACAATTTAAAATATTTCATCTGATTAAATATATAAAAAATAAACTGTTTAAAATTTTCTTTAAAAATATAACACTGTGATAATAATAGAATATTTAAATTATCTATACAAATACAAACAATTAATTACCTCTCTCATAGTGACAAAAGGAAAACTGAATGATTTAAGCATGTCATTTTTTTTCTTATTATTGAAAATCATACGATGGGTTGTCAAATAAATTCGACCACTTTTTGATCCCTTAAATTCTTGTTGATTTTGACCAGAAAATTCCATAGTAACATCATCAGAGTACAAAATTATTCTACGAAAAAGAATTTTACAAAACATTATTATATATAAATAAACAATTAATAATTAATTTTTTTTTAAATTATTAAGATATTTAAAAATTGTAATGAGAACAATAAAAATTGTATTCTTTATAATATTGATTTAAGATTAAAATTGAAAACACCTAATACGTTTATACATATAATTTTTTAAATAAAGAAAGTTTTTCTTTCTTTTTAAGATTTTTAAATATTACGTTTAATTTTTTAAATATGAAAATTTTTGTTGGGTATTGTTTTAAGGAAAATTTTAATCCCTTTAATACCTGTGCAGATATTTAAGGAAAAAAAAACAACAAATTGCGCAATATTTTTTTTTGCATTAAAAAACACAACTTACTGTTCTCCTGAATGTATAAGAACGCCATTATCATTGGCGTGAGCCGTATTTAAAGACATGGTATTAAACCAGAAAACAGTTTACAACTTAAAATTTTTTTTTTTATTGAAATAAAGATATTCGTACTGTAAATGAAGACCGACAGCTGTTTAATGAGACTTGTAGTTATCATTTATCAGGGCCCTTGAAAAATTTGGTTTCTGAACGTTCTTTAAATTATATTTACTCAGTCCCGCCAAAAATATGTTGATGAACAATTTTGATTTTATGAATTGAAAATGAAATAATATTTGAATGATTTTTATTTTTTATTTTTTTCTCAATAAAGCACGATAATCTTATAACATTATTGTTAAGCATTGTTGTTCGTTTATTATCAAAGCAGGTTTGTTTAGTTTTTTTTTTCACAATTATCATAAAATAAAAATATTGAAGATTAATAAAGTTTTTAAATGTACCTTTGCATTTAGGGCATCAATCATGGAATTTAGTACGATAGGGGGAACCAAAAAAGTTACTTCTAAAAATTTTTTATTAGAAAAATATCCTTTAGATTTAACAATGTATCTAGAGCCTCCTGATGAACGAGTGCCCGTAGATGAAATAAGAGAAATGGCTGTAGAAAGAGTTAAACTGTTTAGGGCGTTTGAAGTAGCTTCAGTTAAACTTGGAAATGGTTTTAATTTCAAAGAATTAGCAATCGATGAAATGAATAAACAAGGTTTAAAATATTTTATGCCTCTGGTTAAAGGGTATTCTGATCCTGAAGCTAGAAGAAGAGATTATTTATCTCATTACATGTTAAGAATATGTTATTGTCGTACTGAGGAGTTAAGAAAATGGTTTGTATCTAGAGAAATGGAGTTTTTTAGATTAAAATTTTTTAATATTGAAAACAAAGAAGATATTACATTGTTTATGAAAAAAAATGGTTTAAATTACACTTCAATATCTGATGAAGAAAAACAATCGCTTTCCACTCAACTTATAAATTCATCGATTAGACATATTAATTTGGATGCTGTAAATATTTATAAAGTGCATTTTTCTCAAGTTTTTGATTTAATTAAAAAAAGAAAAGTTTTCTTGAAATTAGGAAATGCATATATTCCTCAGACTGATTTGCATTCTGTTATAAGTTCAGTTTTTAAAAAAAATCTTATCGAAGAATTAGAAGACATTTGTAAAAATTTATCAATATATGAAAGTGATCAAAGAGTGAGTGCTATTGTGAGAGGTTTACATAATTGTTACACAGGAAAAGATTATTGTAAAAACACTGAGAAAACAGAAATCGCAATTGAAAATTTGGATGCATTGTCTATGAAATCTTATCCGCTTTGTATGAAAGCAATGCATGATACATTTAAAACGACTCACCATTTGCGTCACAGTGCAAGACTTCAATATGGATTATTTTTAAAAGGTATAGGAGTTAGTTTGACTGATTCATTAAAATTTTGGAAAATGGGTTTTACTCAAAAGCCTGATATAAACAATGAAGTATTTGAAAAGCGTTATGCATATTCCATAAGACACAATTATGGTAGTGAAGGCAAGAGAGCTAATTACACTCCTCATAACTGCTTAAAAATAATTAACACGCCTGTAGGACCGGGAGAAAATCATGGTTGCCCTTTTAAACATTATGATAGTGATTCCCTTAAAAAAATGCTTTTGAAATCAGGAATATCAACATCGGATATTCTGAACATTACAGATTATGCGACAAAAGGACATTATCAATTAGCATGTACAAGATATTTTGAAGTGACACATAATATAACAAATGCTAATGGAATAAATCATCCTAATCAGTATTTTGAAGACAGTCAAAACCTTTTAAATGGCACAAAACCTAAAGAAATGAAAAAACAAGAAACTTCCAATCAAAACTATAAATTTGAACCTGATTGGGATGACAATATTGATTTAACAAATATATCTGATATTATAAATAATGCAAACGATACAAAAAATGACAATTAAATATTTTAAAAAAATCACAATTACTTACTTGTTTAACAATACTCTGCAAATAATTATTATTATTATTATTATTACAAAAAACAAATCATTTTATTACTTTAAATTTTTCATTGTAGTTTCTACCTTTCTGAAAAAAAAAAAAAAAAAAAAAATATATATTTTATAAATTAGTACAAAACTTTGTTTTTTAAAAGTTAATTTTTTTTAAGTTTATAATTTCCTTTCCGTCTTGAATAAGTATTTAAAAAACTGAAATATAAAAGGAACAATTTTATTAATTATGGCAATTAATTTCATCTGAATTACGTACACAAATTACATAAAATAATAATTCAATTTTTTTTTTTTTTTTTTTTAAGTCATTTGTATTTCGTCTATTGATTTTGGTACATCTTTTTCACTTATAGGTTTGCCAACAAATGATAATTTATCTGGTTGTCCTGGAAATTTTGCTTCATTCTATAAATAGAAAGATTAATATAAAAATTTATTTTTTTTTAAAGTTAATAATATAGTTATATAATTGAACTACAAAAATTTAAATAGTCATGCTTACTAAAGAAGCTCCTCTTTCTTCAAGTATTTTATATGCAAAATTATTAAGCTGCAAAAAAAAAAAAAAAATTTATTATTTTGACAGAATTTAAATGTTCCTAAATTTGATTTAAAAAAAAAAAAAAAAAGCAATTACTGACCAAAATTCCTTTCGGCAATGCTATCCCCTGAAACCTATATATATTTTCTTTACCATTATGATATCCGATAACATTTGTTATGGAACATTTTCCAAAGAAAGATGTATCTGCAACCATTGGTCCATTACTTATATCAATATGATCATTTACTCTGTATAATGTTATCATTTTATCTGAAATTTAATAACATGGATTGTGCAATCGATTTACCATATTTGATTAACAATTATTTTTTATATATATAAAAGGCAAATTACCTTCTGCTTGCCTAGCAATTTCAGGAATTTGAGCCAATTTGTATGGATTATCCTCGAATATCTCAATGGCAATAGACTTTTTAACTTTTAATCTTTCAATTTTATGATTGCCTTGCACGAATAAAATAAATTCAGCTGATAAAATACGTAATTCATCAATGGTCGGAACCCAATTATCAACATTCATTACAACATCGTAAATAAAGCTACCGCTTTTAACTGAAAATTTTTTTTTAAAAATTTTTTATCATTCATGAAAAAGTATTAAAAAATTTATTTAAAAACTTACTGTAAGGTGGTGGAAAACTGTGTAAATGAATTTTTACATTTTCTTTAAAAGCTTTACTTATAACAGCACCCAAAACAAAACTTCCAGTTCTCCAAAAAGCTTTGTTCAAACTGTACGGATCTTCATCTTTGAAAGTTAAAAATTGAATTGTACATTCTCCTGGAAGTGGTCTATGCATATCCCATAAAAACTCATCATTAATCAATGCTAAAGCAGATTGTTGACACACTGGAAGAGAAATATCTAAAAAAAAAAAAAAAAATTTCTACATTAATGATTAATTGATCGCTGATGAAATTTTTTCGATCATACATATAAATTGAGATAATAATAAATGAAAATTACGCTTGCAACAATCATATGGAGTAGATATATCTTTGTTCATTAACAATTCAAGGTTTTCTGTAGAAGTTTTAACTTGAATCGGAATCTTCTCCACTCTACCAATTGCTTCAAGCTGCCTTTCCTGCTCTCGAGTAAATATTAAATTTTTTCTTTCTATTATTTCTAGATTTGAATTAGTAACTTGATTGCAATTCCCTAGAAAAGAGAGTAATTAAAATATTTATGAGTATTTACAAAAAAAAAAAAAACAGTACTTCAATAAAACAAATTAATTTTTTTTTTTTTTTTTTTTAAAAAAAAGCAGTAAATTTACATTTAATGTATATAAAAATGTATTTTTTCAACTTACTACTAAACGAAAAGAAACCTGTCTGTTTCTTTTCAAGTATTTGTTTCTTAAGATGTAATGTGAAAAGCCGTCGAAACATTTTAAAAATTTTATTATTTTCTAATAGAAATATTTTATTAAATATTATTAAATATAAAGCATTTACATTTTATTTAAAAGTAAAGTATTTTTTTACAGGCAGTATTATATATTTTTAAAATATAAAGATTGCCAACCTAATTTAACCAAAAAATCAAATAAACCTTTACTTGATATTTACAATAAGCTGATATCTATTTAATTTTAAAAAAAAAAAAAATTTTAATTAAATTACTGTTGTTATTTTATTAAATTATTATTTAAAAATATATTTTGTAATGATTTTGTTACTACTATAATAAGCACAATAATAATAAAATTCATAGAATAGACAACGTGTTTTCTTTTTAAAAAAAAAAATGTTTTAATATGGCTGATAATTTGTTGTTAGTGTTAAAGATTTTCTTGTAATTTAATATTGTACAAGAAATGTTTGATTTTTTGATGTGAAAATTTTTTCTAAACTCAATATACAATTTTTACATCTTACAATTATTAAGAGTATGAAAAATTGTTTGTATATTCTAATTAAAAATGAAAGAATATAAATTTCAGCCGTATGTCTTAAAGCGCCTGGACCCAAGGAACGAAAATGAAGAAATTCCAAAAGGTAGAAGTGGTCACAGAATTGTTTCCGATGATTCATACGTATATTCTTTTGGGGGTTTCAATCCATTTTTAGAATATGATCAGAACCCAGTCAATGATACATTTTCCGAAATGAATTTATTTAAAGAACTGTGGAGGTTTAATATTGCTTGTAACGAATGGGAAAAACTTTCTCATTATACACCTACTTTACCAAAAGAACTTGCATCAAATGCTGTGGTTATGAAAGGAAATACTTTACTAGTTCACGGAGGAACTGGTGTCCCTTTTGGACATCATTGTTCTAATAAGACATATATAACAAACCTTAGGGAAAACAAGGCTTTAAAACTTCTTGAAACTAAAGGCAATCATCCTCCTCCTCAATACGGTCAAGCTATGGTTTTGGATGGTGATAACTTATATGTTGTCGGTGGAACTTCAGGTTTTGAATATTCAGCCAACATTTATTGTTTAAATTTAAAAACATTGATATGGAAGCCTGTTTATATTCACAAAGGGATTTCATGCAATGAACCACAGGGAAGATATAGACATGAAATTGCTCTTTATGATTCTAAAATTATAGTTTTAGGTGGAGGTACAGTCCATAATGTTTTCGAATTGCAGGTACTGTAATATGTTTATTTATTTAAAAAGTTTTTTTTCAAATTCATAACTGCACCAATTTTTTTTTTTTTTTTTTTTACTAATTTTAAACAAATCTAACTATTTTAGCATCTCCCGGCATATAATTTAAAAAAAAATTGTTGGGAAATTCTCACAACTTTAGGTGATCTAAATGATACGAGTAGTGATAGCAATCATAGAGGATTTCCAGCACCTAGAAGATGTCATGGTAGCATTCAAACAGTTCCAGAAGAAGGTGAAGATCCAGAATTTATATTATGTGGAGGATATAATGGAGTTCAGATTTTTTCAGATATATGGAAATTAAATTTAAGAACTCTACAGTGGACCAAATGGCAAGAAAAATTATTATACCCTTTGAATTTTCATTCTGCAAGTTTGTCTCCTTGTGGGAAAATGTTTATATTTGGCGGTATACATGAAATATTTAATGAAGGCAGACATGTTATGACTTATAGAACAAATGCAATATTTTCAAATTGGATAAAAATACCTAAATTAACAGAAATATGTTGGGAAGCTTTATTGTTTTACAGTCCTGGGCTCATAAAACTTCCCAGATTTCAACTTTTGAGTTGTGGTATACCTATTCAATTTGTTGATAGAATAAAAACCAGTTAAAATATATTTTAAAATTTAAAAAAAATTGTTTTTTTTTTTTTTTTTTTTTTTATTTTCGACCCATTTGAGTAACCAATTAATGTAATTGTATCAATAATGCGAAAAAAAAAATTTTGAATTAGTTCTGCGATACCGTCGGAAAAAATCTTTTAAACAATGTTGGTAACCCTGAAATCAAATTTAATTTAACTTTAACGTCTATGGTTACGTAATAAAATTTGTATTATGACAATAAACGGTATAAACAAAGTCGAAATTTTTTTTTTATAATGAATTCTGATAATATTCTTGAGGTATTTCCTACCGCCGAAGAATTATCTTTAGTTAGAACTAAAATTAAATGTCCTCAAACAGGATGTGAATCGGTTTTTTTATCAACGTCAAATTTAAATATGCATTTAATAAAACGTCATAAAATCGCTAATAATGGTTTGACGAAAAAAAGTGAAATGCAATTTTTCTGCCCAGTAGAATCTTGTTCTTATTTTAAAAAATCTAAAAAACATTTTACTAAATTAAAATACTTGAAGCAACATTTTTTAAAAGTCCACGCTTCTAAAGACTTATCCTGTAATAAGTGCGAAAAAAAATTTTCGACAGAAGCATTTAAATCATCTCACATGAAACACTGTGGAAAATTATTTACTTGTACTTGCGGGTTAAATTATACTTCAAGTGAAGCTATATTAACTCATTGCAAAAGAAAAGGTAAAGGACATATTTTTTTGGAAGAAAAAAATAAAAATGTTTCCGATAACAATAATTATGATGTAAATTTCACAACCGAAACCAAAACTATGGGTAAAAAACCTGAAAGACTCATCTACCCTAAACTTTCCAACGAAATGTCTTTTCCCATTCATTACATAGCTGCTGTAGCATTAAGTGAATTGTCATTGCCATGCAATCTTTCTAAGGTTGTAGATAAAGGCATTCAAACGGACTTATCAGATTTAGCATCAGTTAAAAATCATAAAAATAATACTATTCTATTTAAAACTGAAAAGAAAAGAAAAAATTCTCAACACACTCAAACTATTAGTAAATTAAAGAAATTAAAAATATCAACTCAAACTCAAACAAGCATCGATTATTTAAAACCGAAAAACAAAAATAATGTTAAAACTATAATAAGAAAAAAGAAAAAAAGTATGGAAACACAAACCAAAGATTATTTAAAAAGTCCAGAGAAATTTACCACCAAACTTCAATACAGTTTGGAATCAAGTTGTGATCAGTGGACAAATACAATACCAATGGATAGCAGTGTGAAAAATGAAATTTTATTAGAATCTAACAATAAATCTGATATTTTGGAAGAAATAAAAGAAGTCAATGAAAGTGCAATACTAGTAAAAAACAATGAAAAAAAATGGATCTGGGATAATCATTTCTTTGTTCATCAGGATAAAGTTTTAAGTTCCGAAGAATCGAAAGGAGAGGATCCAAAATCAGAGTTACTTAATATAGCTACTGAGTTAAATAATTTGTATAACAAAGAAATGAATCTTGCCGAATTTACTCCTTTGTCTGAAAAAAATAAAAATCAATGTCTATCCGAACAGGGGTCAGACAGTCAAATGTTTGATTTAAATAAATTGTGCAATATTGAAACGCAAACGGAAATTGATACGTTTCTCATGGAATGTGGTGGAGATGAAGCATTCACACTTTGTTCGACAACAGAAACTCAAACCACAGATGATTTCGATTCTCTTTTATATTCTAACATGTGTACTCAAACATGCGAAGAAGTAGATCTTTTATTTAATTTCAATTTTGTAAATAATCAAACTCAAACATCATGGCCAGAATTGAATGATTGTTCTGAAATAAATTAATATTAAATCTTAAAATCCACCTACTAAAAATATTCGAACAAATTTATCTACAAAATAGTTTAACTGACTTTTTTTTAAAATATATTATTCCATTTGTTATTTTTTAAATTTATTATTTCTTTCCTTAATTCGATAAATGTTTTTTTTTAGCAGTTATTATAACCTAACTCATTAGAATAAAAAATTATATTTAATATTGAATTTTGTGTTTAACTCCTCAAAAAAATAAAATTTTAAAATTAAAAAGAAAACAAATTACTTATTATATTTGGAAACCCTTGCAATTTAATGAAATCATTTGTAAAAAATCAATTCTCGAATAAATATTTAATAATTTTTTTATTGTTAATATTAAAAAAAAAAAAAATAAATAAATAAACTGGTAAATCAAAAATGCCCTAAAATTTTTTCTTGGGTTTTTTTTTTTACAGAAATATTTATTTAGTCTACATTAATTTTTTTTGGAAGATGATAACTATTTTCCATACTGAATATATATATTTACTTGAAACCGAGTCATTTAGCACTGGAAATATTCATTTTAATATTAGCTACAGGTGAACAAAAGTAAAAAAAAAAAAAAAACGAATTTGTTCGAATATTACGGGTAAGTAGTAAGTAGGCGATCTCTGATTTAAGATTTTTTCCAACTTTTGAAACATCACCTGGGATCGTTTAAATGAAGTATATTTCTGGCCTGAAAATTAACCGGATGAAATCTCGCAATGTATTTAATTTAATAGAATCGTAGATTTGAAAAAAAAAAAAAAAAAATTAAAATGGCGTACTTACCGTTGAAAAAGCAGCACTGACAACATCTTTTGCAACGGTTGAAGCTTCACTTCCACTGCTAATAATGTGTTGAATTTGTATGGCTTCGACTAATCTTCTGTCTAGAAATTTCCAAGTTTCTTGAAAATCCGTCGATTTATCTTGAATCATGTATAATTCCGTTACTTTGTAAATACCACTAACTCCGATTCTACGTATGTACCAATTAAACTACAATAAAACACGAACTTTGTGCAGTTTGATTTCAAGTTGATGAAAACACTTAATCAATAAAAAATTAGATAATATTTGTCGTACGTCTACGGATTTATCACCAGCGTAGAAACATATATCGTCGCTTAATGCAAGTAAATTGGCAAGAGCGACAGGAACATTTGGCGGTAAACTCATAATTGCAATTGCTTGCGGCCATTTTTGAATGTAAGGAATAAGCATTCTCAACCGTACTTCTATTGAATCTCTAATAAAATCTTGCGGTTCTTTAATTCTAAAAAAAATTAAAACACTTTGTGATACTTGGTTACTTTAAAAAGTAAAAAAAAAAAAAAAAAAAAAAAAAAAAACATACGTTTGAGGATTATCCGTAGCTTTTATCATGTAGTCTTTCAATTTTTGATTACATTTTACATAAAAATAATTAATTACATCTGCTCCACCGTTTGGAAATATTCCATTTGCTATCCCTGGATACCCTACAGATTCAGCACCTGGGGGGAAAAACAAAAAAAAAAAAAAAAAAAAAAAAAAAAACATTTAATTTAAAAAGTCAAAGGGTTTTAATTATGTAAAATTACAAAACAAATAACAGGGTAAATGCCTTAAATTTTTTTTTTTTTTTTTTATTAAAAAATACCGTTGCTTATGGCTTCTCTAGACCATCCGTGAACGGGTACAAAGTCAAGGGAAGCATTTAATATTTTTTCCCTAATATTACTCTCATACTGATGATCATCTGAGGAATTTTCTTTTTTATCTTGATTATCATTTTTTGTTGAACAATTTCGTATTTTAAAAAAACAACAGCGAAACCCTAAAAAAAAAATGAAATTATTTGTGAACTCCTGAAATTTTTTTAAAGTTTTAATCTTTAATAAATTTTTTTTTCCTCGAGAAGAGTTTTGTTTATATATATATATATATATATATATATATATATATATATATATAAGAAAATTTGTATGGGATTAAATAAAAAAAAAAAAAAAAAAACTTCTTTTCTAAAAAAATTTTTTTTTATTTCGCATCTAACTAAGAACATTCTTGTATACATTCCATTAATCGATTATGCAATAAATCAATCAAATCAACTGCATTTAAACAAGACATGTAAGCAGTTTTTTGCTGTTCCTTTGTTAATTTTGGTAAAGTTTGATTTTTAACTGTAAGTTCAATATCTAAATCAGATTTGGACAAATCTGATTCATTCCTTTTATCATTCCCTTCTAAATCCTTTAGTTTCATTTCATAATATATTTTTGAATTTTTAATGTTTTCCTTTAATGGCACTAAAAACTCTGCATTGATTTTAGTAAAAAAACGTTTTATGTCTGTCACATCATCCTTATCTCTTAGAATTAAAAATTTCAATACATTCAATGATGAAATAATGTGATCTGCATTCTCAACTAAATCAGTCTTAGAATTATTCTGTAAGAAACAATACTGTTTTAATAAATCAAACAATAACTTTCCTTTATAATATTTCACATATTTGTGATATAATTTTAAATTTTTCGATAGTTCCAAAAAATTAGAAAGTAATTCTTTGATAAGAACAATTAAATATCCCAGAGTTCCAGAATGATCTATTAATGTTCTTATTCTTAGCAGTAATAAATATCTGCCTTCCCAATTAAAACATGTTATGTAGCTTTTAAAACAAGTTAAAGCTAAATTACGATTTTCTTTCACTTGAGAATAAACCATTATGCTATTTAAATGCATAAGAATATATTTATGACTTGAAAAATACAAATCTGCTTTTTCCAAAGAGTGAACTAATTGATCAAGTAACAATTTTAAAAATTTCAATCCATTATTTGTAGCTGTGTTTGTTTTCTTTTCAAAAAATGGAATTGTTACGTATATTAATGATAACATAATATGTTTGGGATTGTAAACCATTGGCAATCTAATATCTTCATGTTCATTTTCACTAAAAATTGAAAAAAAAAACATGCCATATGATAAATTAGACACTACTGTTATGTCTTCAAATGGATTCACATTATATGCGACATTTGTGACATCGCATCCATTAAGAAAACCATCATTGCATTCATCAATTTCTGATTTACTAGATTTCGATTTTAAATCGCTAACATTTATAGCACGAAAAAAAACATATTGAAGAAGATGCATTGGATTAGAAATTAATTTTAAAATAAGACTCTGAATTTTATATTTATAAATTTTCATATCTGGTACTTTATCTATGTTAATGCAGGGCAGTAAAATATCAAACATTTGAAGAAGTCTAGATGAAATTAAAATATTTAGCTCGTGAGCTTCAACAGGGTTTTCAACTGCTTCCTCAACAAAATATTCAAAAAATGTCAGAACATGATTCAAAACACTTAATATTTCTAATATTTGTTCAGTATCACATAATTGATTATCATTTTCTGTACTGTCAAATTCATTGTAGATTTCATCGAAAGGAAAATTTTCTATATATGACCTTATCGAATTAAGTGTCCATTCTAATGATTTTAATCTATTTTCTTTTAAAACATCTCTATTTAAAAGTATTCTTAGCAAATTTAATATAATTGGAAATTTAGTAGTATCTGCTTCATCCATTTGTTCTAAAAATTCCAGTATTCCTTCTTCAGGATTAGCTTCCATTGCAAGAATTTCAAGTAATTCTTCACTGCATGATGCCAAGTCATTATTATTTTCCCTAGCCTCTTTTGTTATATGTTTACAAAATATGGGTATTAAATCCCAACAATTATTTTTCAAATACACTTTATTATTATCATTTTTAAATAAATTAACTGCTGCGGAGTAGTCATGGATTTCTAAAAATTTTGTCACTTTCTCGACAAATTGTTCAGAATTAAAATTATGATTTGCCATACTAATAATAATTAAGTTTAATTTTTTTGAGTAAGTTTTACGATTTTTAAATATAAATTAAAGAAAATATTTAAAAAAAAAAAAAAAAAAAACTTAATATTTAAACTACATTAACTGTAAAATTGATGTTCCAGAAAGCACAACTGCTGAAGTAGTTTCACTATTTAATTAAAAAAAATTTTTTTTTTTTTTAAGTGTACCTTGCTGAATAGAAGCGTTACTTGTTTTTTGCAGCAATGATTTAATAGCAGCCATATTTAAATTAAAAAAATAAATTGAAAATTAAACAACTAAATATAATTCAATAAAGACATATATCGAAACTTGGTCGCCATCATTATTTATGTTTCAAAGGTTGGAAGCTATTCCCCAGATAAAATGTCTGCTTAATTGTCAAAGCTATTAGTGTAAGAATATCTATTATTGTAAAAAAAAAAAAAAAAAAAAAAAAAAAAATTTACATGTAAATAGTATTTTTTTTTTTGTAATTCAGAAAAATAAAAAAGAAAAAAGTTTTTTAATGAATGGGTTAGTTAATTTTTTTATACGATGTCGACTAGATCTCTTTTAACTAAAGAATTAAATGGTAAGTTGTTTACATTTTCATAAATAATAGTATTTATATGAAAATGATTCACATCTAGGGAGTGTCATTTGTTTTTCACTTAACCGTAAAAATAAAAATGTTTTTGTTAAAAATAACATTGGCAAATTGAAACACTTTTAAATGATTCGATTAAATAAATAGTCTAAGATTATGGCAAAATCATAATCATTTATTTGACTGAAATTAATTTTTAAGTGTTAATTTAAAAAATTAAAAACATGCTTTTGTTTTGCTTGTATAATTGCCTTAAAAAAATTTTTTTTTTAAATTTAATTTAATGATTTTATGCCATTCGATAATAATAAAATAATGGAAAATATTTTAAATGAATAAATCAAACAATATTTTATGCTTATTAATAAATTCAATAGTATTTTTAAATAAAATTTTTTGGGCAAAATTATTTATTTTGAAAACATTTCTTTTGAAAAAAAATTTTATTCCAAGAAAGTATTACACATTTACCTTGGAATTAATTTTTTTAATAACCTGCTAAAAAATACAATCTTTTTTTTTTTTTTAATTAAATGTTTCCAGTTAGTGACTTTCTACAATAAAAAATGTGAGAAAAAAAAAAAAAAAAAAATGAAACCTGTTGGTGTTCCAGTTAATGTATTTATTATTACATTCCTTTTATAAATAACTGCATTCTTTAACTTAAAAAGTTGCTATTCTTTTTATATTATGATTCATTCATTTTATGTTTTGGAATAATTTTAAACATTTTTTTTTTTTTAAAGATAAACTAGCCAAAACTTTTCATTAATCTTAAGTACTCAGAATAAATTTATTGTATTAATTAAAATTTTAATTTTTTTTATTAAAAAAAAAATGATTGTAGTACTTTTTGTTTGCTTAATTTGAAAAATTTAAGTGTTTAATTTATCGACAAAAATTTTAAACAATAATAATTTCATCAAAGTTATTAATTATTATCAATTTATTTAATTTAAATAATTTAATTACTTTAAAGTTTGTTTATAATTAATAATAATAATAATGAAAAGTAGTTATTTGTTTGTATAATAATTGTAAACAAATGGTATGATTATACATTAATAAGTTTTTTAAAGAAATTTTTTTCCTTTTTCTTTTTTTTTTTGTTTATAGAAAGTGTCAAAGCTTTATTAGGAAGAAAAATTAAAATATTATTAAAAAATGTTGTTAAATTGGAGACAAAAGGAGATAAAACAGAAAACAGAGTATTGGTTTTTTCACCTTGCAGACTTTTCGTTCTTACGGCTAAAATTCCTACTAGAGTTAGTATATATGTCACTTTTCCTCAATATTATTATTTAATTATTATATTCGTCATTTATAATTTTAATTGTTATGAAATTATAGATTGATTTTCATTTCCATTATTTGGAAATCAGTGCAATTGAAAGCAAAAAGCCCAACAGGCTTTGCTTGACAGTGCACGATAAAGCTTATTCATTTCTGGTAACTCCGGAATCGGGACAAGAAGAAGATGAATGCGTGGAAGAAATAGATTCTATGGTATTAGCACTTGCTACTGCTATTAGAAACATATTTCCCACTGTTCCATTACAGTAAGAATTTCTCACATGGTTTTATTAGTCTAATTTAATTTATTTACATTAATAAAAAAAAATATTTTTTTTGAAGGTATATTATTCCTAGAATTGATATTATCCCTTCCAAAAGATTTGAACACATAAAAAAATGGGAGATTCGTAATAGCGATTCTCACACATTGGGGGCTTGTGGGGGTTTTAGTACTCAATATGCTTGTATGTGTGATTACCATGGTGCACCTTACAGGGATGAAGTAGCATGGGATATTGATACCATTTACTTGTGTCAGGGAAGCAAAGAGTTGTGTTTAAAAGATTTTGATCATTTAGATCCAAAGTAAGATAATATTCATACTTTAATTTTTTTTAGATGCTTTTAACGCGTAAAAAACATATATATATGACTTTATTTAGTTAATTAAAAATAATTATATATTTTTCATAATTTTTAATTTTTTATATATTTTTATTTTCAGAGATTTAGTGCCAATAATCAGTGCATTAGAATATAACACTTGGTTTAAAAAAGTAAGAGTTAGTCATATAAGATTAACACATGAATCAATTGATCGACTTCTTCACGTTATGAAAAAATCCCTTAGCATAGAAGAATTATATTTAGATAATATTAATGCGAAAGCAGATTTTGCACATAAACTTTCTCTAAGTTTAATATCGAATAGTAAAACTCCATTGCATACTTTAGATCTCAGCAGTAATGTAATTGAAGATAAAGGTGCGTGCATATGTATATATGAATATATTGCCTTGAAAAACTTTAAAATTATATTTTGTGTGAGAATATGTATTTAAATTAAGCTTTGAATTCATTACTTTAGGAGCAGCACATTTAAGTATGTCATGCTCTAAACTTCCAAAGGGCCTGGTACATCTAAATCTATCACACTGCGGTTTGTCTTCGAAAGGAGTTAATCAACTTGCTCATTCTTTTAATATTAATAAAGCAATATCTTCCACATTGTCTCATTTAAATTTATCCAATAACAACCTCAAAGAAGAAATAAATGTGAGAAGAAAAAAATATTATTATGAAGTTAATTTAAAAAAAAAAAAAAGAAAATTATCATTTTTTAACTTTGATCATGTATGAATTTCAGAATTTATGTAATTTCCTTGCACAACCCAACGTTTTAACTCATTTAGATATTTCAAACACGGATTTTGTATTGGAATCATTATTTGGAGCCTTGCTGCGAGGATGCGCCACGAATTTAGTACATTTAAACGTTTCAAAAAATTATTTCAATATGAAAAAGAACAAAGAAGTTCTTCCCTCATTTAAACAATTTTTCACAAGTACACTTAGTTTAAAATATTTAAATATGTCTAATTGCAAATTGCCTCTGGAAGCTTTAAAGTCAGTATCCTTTGCTTTGTTTTGTTTTTATTAAAAAAAAATAATAATGATATTTATAATATAAAAATTAATTGAAAATTTTCAGGCATTTACTATTAGGACTTGCGTGTAATGAATCAACGGCAGAAATTTTTTTGGATATTAGTTGTAATAATTTAGGAGCTCAAGGTGCTCACGTATTAGAATCTTGTATTCACGGAGTACGATGTATATCTAGTCTCGACATCAGCGAAAACAGTAAGACAAAATTTTTGCGATATCCAAAAATAAAATTATTACATTTATGCATTTAAAAAAATCAAATTAAAACGTTTATCTCATCATAGATATGGATGTCGAATTAGCGTTGGTAATATCAGCAGTTGGTAAAAACAAATCAATTAAACATTTACACATGGGTAGAAATTTATTAAACATGAAAGCAAAGCATGTATCTACTGTCATGGAGGCTGTTGTTCAATTAGTTCAAGAAGAAGACTGCGTATTACAAAGTTTAATGCTTCCGGATTGTCGACTGAAATCCGATCTACATAATTTAATAAACGCTTTGGGTAGCAATCAATGCTTGCAAACAATCGATATCAGGTAACTTTATCCTAATATTTATATACTCTATGACATTTTAAAAAACAAAAAAATTTAATTTAATTTATGAAACGTTTCTAGCGGAAATAATATGGGCGATCCTGGAGCAAGACTTTTAGCAAAAGCTTTGCAGATTAATAGCAAAATAAGAACAATTTACTACGATAAAAATAACATTACTCTGCAAGGATATTGCGATTTGGCGTATGCTTTGGAAAGGTTTGCTATCGTTCAGTGAAACTTTTAAATACGTTATTTTAAAAATATGGAACCACTTACCTTTATGCAATATTCTTTTCAGTAATTTTACCGTGCGTTACATGCCTTTTCCAATTCACGACATTGTACCGTGTATAAAAACTTCCGCCGAAAGAACCGATGCCGTTATTAAAAAAATTCAACAGTTGCTTTATAGGAACGTGACACCTAAAAAATATAAAAACGGACAAGCATTTCGGTAAGTATTTTACCAAGAACCAAATAATCAAGAATTTTACAAAGTTTTAAAAGTTTTCTCATTTAACAATAAGTCAAATACTTACTTATTTTTTTCAGATTGCAACAAGGATTTTTGCTTAGTTCCACGCAGCAAATGGTTGACAAACTCGTTGTTCAAACTCATGATACAATAAAAGCTCTAGCTGCTGAATCTGTGGCTCGTAACAACGAAATTAACAGTGCAACGGCTTTGATCCAAGATGCCGACAATTCAAAACAGTTGTTAACAAGGCTTCACGATGTTATATTAAGGCGAGAAGAAAGTGGAAATCCGGTAGATTTGAAACTCAGGAGCGTATCTCAGGAACTTCATTCTGTAATAGTAAACTTTCTTCAGGTAAATAATAAAATTTTCTTATTTTCATCTTTTCTCTTTCGGTAAGATGGAGACGATGAAAATTGTTAAAAGTAAATGTTTTCAATTTTTATTTTTAATTTAAACAAATATTATTAATTTTTCTCAGGGTACTCTAGAGAGCATGATCAAATGCGTGGAAGAAGAATGTCCAAACATTGCGAGTTACGAAGAAGTAACGAATGATATAAGAAAAGCTTGCAATGAAAAAATTTACATTCCTCTGGAATTTGTCGAGTCTTGTATTATGGATCAAGCTGGAACGGATATTATGAACAAAACAAAGTAATTTAAATAAAAGTATTTTAAGATTGCGAATTTTAAATGGATAATGGTGTTACAATATTAAATTTAATTTTAGTGAACTCAACCTTGCGGCTGCTGCACACGTATCAGATAAAATCACGGATGAAGTTATTAATCAATTGTCGAAAAATTATAAAACATTGGTACGGTATGATTTGAAGTATTATTAATTTTTAAAAAATTAGAATATGAACCCTAAACTATTGTTTTTTTTTTTTTTTTTTTTTTATAATAATGGCGAAAGGTTGGAGATTCAAGCCGAAAAAGATCATCTACTCCTGATGTTTTAAGAAGTGGTTCTAGACTAAGCTCAAATGAAGATAGCGAAAGTTGTTCTTTTGTAGATACCGTTAGTCAAATGTCGGATCAATCTCCTTTGGTAAGCTGATGTTTATTTATTTATTTATTTATTTATTCTTAATTTATTTAAATTTATGAAAATAAAGGCTATAAGTTATTTAAAATAAATCGTTCCAATGTATTTCATGCTACTAGAAATTGGAATATTTGAATTTGGTGAGTGAATTTATTAAAAATTTTTTTAACGTATCGTCGATTCGAAAGTTATGAAAAAAATGAAATAAATTTTGCATGCAAAGTAATAATTAAAAGTAAAAAAAAAAAACTTGCCATTTCCAGGCAACTCCTCATCTTTCCAGCAAGAAAAAAAGTTTACACGGTAGAAAGCTTCGACCAAAGAGCGTCGTGGATTCCGTTGAGGGCCTTTCGGCGGATCACATTCCCGATTTATTACCCACGATACCCAAATCAGCAGAAGAAAGTTTGGATTCCGTTGCGGAGTTGCCAACTCAACAACTTCAACATCTGGTGAAAGGCAGACCGAAAAGGTAACTAAAACAAAAAAAAAAAAAAAAAAAAAAAAAATTATTCATCGAAGTAATAATTAATAAATTTATTTTCAGAGCCAAAACGAGACAACCGACGAGACCAATGTTAAAAACTTCAGATATCGTTGAAAAAGCAGAAGATTTGGATTCTGGTTTGGATACATTTTTTAGACCCGGTAGCGTCACTCCCACAACTCCTCTGGTATCTCCCACATCGGATGAAAGGTAACATTTTCCATCACCACCACCACCACCACCACCTTCCCCTCCCTCCATTAAGAATATTTTTCTTTTTCAGCGAGAAAACTTTTCCATGCCAAAGTCCGACGTATAATAAAAACGAAACAAAAAGTCAAAAATTGTCACCGTTATTGAAACCATTCACGGCTCCAAGATCCAGATCGAACGATAATATTACGGAAAAACAATTGACGTTGGAAAAATCTCCGGTGGTTCAACACAAACCCACAGGAGTAGGACCATCACCATCAACGAAACATTTTGCCAAAGATGATGCTTTTGCGGAAAGTAATGAAATTTTCCCCCCTCTTTTTTTTAATTAATAAAAAAAGTTTTCTAACCGTGGGAAAAATTTATAAATTTTCTTTTGTTTGTTTGTTTGCAACAGCGAAATTAGAAACGGATTCAGGAGGATGGAGGACTCAACAATTGTTGGACAATAGTAGCAATAGTAGTAATAGTAGTAGTGGTGGGAAAAAACAAATATTATTAGATGAAAATAGAAAATTAAAAACATCACCCGTGATAGGAAAACACGATTATTTAGGAGGGGATGAAAGCGGTCGGGAAATTCCAAAATCTCCAATATTTAAATCAGTAATCAAAGACAACAATGAGAATAAAACGACTGAGGCAGGTAAAACAAGATTCTAGGTTTGCCTTTTTTTGGTTTTTATTATTATTATTATTATTATTTTTTAAAAATAAAATAAAATCCTTAATTTTGATTTTACGTAAGTTTTGTTTCTCATTAGAAAATAAATTATCATTATTAGTTAGAACTTTGTATTTATTTGCACTTATAAAGTAGTAGTTTTATCCTAAAACATCACACGTGTAAAACATGGCACAAAACATTTTGTTTTTTTTTTTTTTTTTTGAAATAAAATGGCATGAGTTGTAGGAGGTATTTGGTTTGAATTAAATTTTAAATTTTGTTAAATCAGGTTTTTTTTTTTTTTTTTGAAAAAATATTTAATAAATTAGCATGCCTCACATTTATTTGATGGTGTTATATGTGATGCACTTTTTTTCACAAGTTTAGACAAGAAAAGAAAAGAAAAGAAAAAAGAAAAAATTTTAAGGTTTTTGGAAAAAGTGTCTCGCGCAACATCATCAGGTTTGATGTTTTGAATTTTTTTTTTTTATTTAGGAGAAGGAATATCGAAAATGAAACCTGCTCCTCCTGTCGCTCCCAAACCTCGTCCCTGGTCAATTATTACAGAAAAATCAACATGCAATGATTTTAATGTTGTTTCGAATCGTCGGAATAATTTTCACGTGAGTTTTCTCTTTTCTTTTGTGGGATTCAAGAAATAAAATAATAATAATAATAATAATAATAAATAAATAAATAAATTTACTTCTTACCTTCTTTTTATTTCAGGGAAAATCTTC